TACATTTTAAAATACTTTACTTTTTTTCTGAAATTTAAATTTGACCTGTAGTCCTGTACAGGGTTGCTATGAGTCGGAACTGACTCCACGGCACATAACAACAACAACAACTTTATTTTTATTTACTAAATATGGGTTTCCTACTTATGAAGCTTTAAGTTTAGCAGGAGAGTGAAAGTGTACTCAAATAACAGTACCAATAGAACATGTTGTTGTTAAGTGCCACGGAGTCAGTTCCAACCCATAATGACCTCATATAGGGTTTCTGAGGAGGGACTGGTGAGCTGGAACCACCAACCTTGTGGTTCAAACCGACTTTGCAGTCCAGCCAGTAACTCACAGTGTTACACCAACCAGGACATAAAAAATGAAGTATCATGGTGAATTAAGAACAGGCATAAATCATTATGGTGGAGGGTGAGGTTAGGCACTGTATCGTGGGAATGACATTTTGCTAGAGGCTACATTATAAAGGTTGGTGAGATTAAGATTTGGGGTATAGGAAGGATTCAAAGTAAAGAGGACAGAATCAGAAAAGGCATAGAGTAATGAGAGCCAAAAGTTTATTGGAAAAGTAAATAGTTCAGAGTAAAGATAGAAGCACTTAAGGAAAGAAGGCTCTTGCTAAAGGGTTGAGGGTCTTTTTCCCAACAGCAATGGCTCTCAAACTGTAAGTATGCATGATTTAACCAGGAACCTTGTTAAGATACAGTTTCTGGTCTGGGATGCCACTAAGTCCATTTTCAGCTCATACTGACCCAAGTTGATAGAATAGAACTGCCCCATAGGATTCCTGGGCTTAATCTTTAATGGAAGCAGATTGTTCCTTCTTTCTTCTGTGGAACCAGTCTGGGATAGGGCTGCAGATTTTGCTATTCAAAACAGCTCCCAGGTGATGTCAGCATTGCTTATACAGAGACCATACTTTGAGTTGCAAGACCTTACAGTTTAGAAAGTGGTTAAGACTTTTTTTTTATAGAAAATGAGGAACTGGTTACAACTTTTAAGCAGTGACAGGACATAATCAGAAATGCGTGTAGCAAAGATGATTCTGACAGGTCATGTGACCATTTGAGAGCACCTTAAAGAGTCAAATGCAAGACATTACCATTAAGTAACTTCCTGAGGGTTCATAGTATACAAGTCATTGTTACCTGTAGATGCAAAGCAAATTGAGAAGTCCTGTTGTCAAGAGGCTTATTGTCTATTTGGGGTGAGAACAGGAAGAAGAAACATACTGGCCCTTGCAGGAAAGAGCAGGTGTCCTGTTGAGGATAAAAGGTGCAGAGATGATCCAAAAGGGCATAACCCATACAGTTTAACCAAGGATGTCAAAGGGTATAAATAACTCATTTACTCTTTTATACTTTACAATGATTTGTTACTGCAACCTCAGGAAGATGATAATCAATGTTGTTATACCTATTTTACAGAAGAGAAAACTGATTTGTCCAAGGTTGCACACCCAGGCATCTCATCCCCATGTTTTTTCCATTACAAGATCTTTCTTAAGCTTTGGTAGCGTAGTGGCTATGAATCAGACTGCGAGCCGCAAAGTCAGCAGTTCGAAACTACCAGCTATTCTGTGGGAGAAAGATGAGGCTTTCTGCTCCCTAAAGATTTACAGCCTTGGAAACCCTGTACAGGGTCTCTATGAGTTGGAACCAACTCCACGGCATATAACAACAACAACAACAGCAACAAGGTCTGAGTAATGTGGTTACGAATTGGGCTGCTAACCTCAAGGTCGGCAGTTTGAAACTACCAGCTGTTCCATGGGAGAAAGATGAGGCTTTCTGCTCCTGTAAAGATTTGCAACCTCAGAAACCCTGTGCAGGGTCACTATGAGTCGGAACCGACTCCATGGTGCTTAACAACAACAACATCAAAGTCTGAGTACTCGTCTCCAAACAGAATGTTAATGAAAGGGATGGGTTTTGCCTGTCCCATCAGTTCTGTTCACACTACTTGTCACATCAGCTGTACTTCTCAGGTTTCTTTCCTTTCTGTTTTTGCTTAGCAACACAGAATATCAATAATCCATACACAACAAATACTCAGTAAATATTGCTTAGTTAGTTGGTTGCTTTCTTCCTGTGGAAACCTCACCCAAATCTGGTAATGTTTTGCAATAATTTGTCAGAGCATGTTTATAATCCTAACCTTAGTGATATTTTTCATGTGGCTTCCCATGGTAACACAAATAGCAATTACATCTAATTTCTGATAATCCTTTCAGTTGCCTCCAATACCACCATCTTGATGCCGTTAAAAGGAATTATAGAATTGACATAACCTAGGAATTAGGGAAGATTCCATCACATAAAATAGGTATTAATATGGAATGACCATTATATGACTGCAGGAAGAAATGTACTGGTATCCTTTTTCTTAAATGTTAGGTTATGGTTAGGACTAGGGTTGTTGTCAGGGCTAAGGGTTGGGCTAAGTCTAGGAATAAGGCTTAATTTTGTTTTTAGAAGTATGTTGTTGTTGTTAAGTGCCGTCGAGTCAATTCTGACCCATAGCAATCCTGTTTTTTAGTGTTTCCAAGGAGCAGCTGGTGAGCTTAAACCGTCATTCTTGTGGCTCAAACTGACCTTGCAGTCCAGCGCATTGACTCACAGCACCGCACCAGGACTCCTCTATAATGATTGTTCTGACCAAAAGCGACCCTGTATAGGGTTTCCCAGGAGTGATTGGTGAGCTTGAACCGCCGACCTTGCAGTTCAAATGGCTTTGCAGTCT